AATTAATGATGGTGCTTTGAATAGTCAATTTTCCCTTCCTTTGTTCCAAACTATCAAATTCACAGTCTAAAACAGGGAAAAGATAAATTATTGGCTACAAGAGGGACATCTCAGAACAATGGTGGAGATACGGCTCACTCAAATATTTAAGTGAATTTTGAGGAAACTTTAAGCTCTGAAAATCTATGATATGAATATTTCAAAATATGATTGCATTATAAAATATAGTGCCCCTGCCTTGGGTTTCCAAGGCAGTATCTCCACAGAAGTAGATTTCCCAACTTCTTTCCGAGGAGTGGCTGGTGGGTTTGAACCATCAGCCTTCTGGTTAGCAGTCAAACGTCTTAGGCATTACACCACCAGAGCTCCCAAAATAAACTTTATTTACTATTATTTAGGAAAACTAAGATGCTGATGTTTTATATCAAATATTTATGTTTAGAATTGTTAAAAGAGAACTTTTGTTAGTTTTTTTTTTTTTTTTTTCCTCTCTAAACTATGTTATATCCAGTACATTTTCTCTGAAAAGACCAGTATATATAACTTCATATCTCACTTTAACAGATGAGGGGAAATTAGGGGTTTCAGAAAGAAACAGATCCATATTCTATGTTGACTTGGCTGTATTGCTGTTTCTTTATTTCTGTACTTTACTATCTATTACCCATGTAAACTAGGCTGAGTTACTGCATGTTTCTGAGTTACATTTCTTGATCTGTAAAAGGAGGATCATTGTATTTACTATAGCTGGTTGTTGATGTGATTAACTGAAACAATACATACATAAATCCTAATGCATAATGTCTGGCACATAATAGAGCCTGACATATAGTCTTTTGTGTAGACTTGTGCGAGGAAGAAGGATGTAATCTTGTTAAATCTGCCCAATGTCTTTTCAGGCTAGTGATCATAGACACAGGGAAGAGATAACACAAATGGAGGTGTGTACCTGGGTTGTCCAAACAGCTAACTTGCTCAGCTGCTAACCAAAAATTTGGAGGTTGGAATCTACCCAGAGATGCCTCAGAAGAAATGTCTGGCAATCTACTCCTGAAAAATTAGACATTGAAAACCCTGTGGAACACAGTTTCACTCTCATGCACACGTATTGCCATAAGTCAGAGTCAACTCATTGGTGAATGTAAAAAGATGCTAATTTCTTCTGTTTGGCAGATAAATGAGAGGGGCAAGGAACAGGATGGAGGGTGAAGAGTTGACTACTGCTGCTGATTTTCCTGGGGGATGTTGTGGTCAATTGAAATAGGGTGAGGACAGTGATACAGCATACCAACCACTCTATAACAGTGACTTCCTCTGATGATATAGAGAACAGCACAGCTTTTACAACAGGAGCTACATTGAGGATAGTAGAACTAATCATCTTTGGCCTAGTTGCTGATGATGCCAGGGTCTCAAGTACTATTTTTGTTTGCTTTATTTTGTTTTAAAGGAGTAGATGGTATTTTTTTGTTATTCTTTGAAGTAATAATTATAGAGATGATAATATACTTGTTTTTTTTTGTTTTTGTTATTGTCATTTATTTCTCCTTTGTTTGACAAACTCACCTGTCACAAGTGCTCTTGAGAAATGCTTACTTGTCCTCATCTTAGAGAAGATGATACCAACAGTAGGTACTGCACAAGGCAGAAAAAGGTGAAGAAAAACAGGATGATAAAGAGAAGCTAAATTTCTGCACTACTTAGACTTCTAAGGAAACGTCTTAGACCTTTCCATTTGCAAAATGGAGAAAGTATCTGCCCTGCTAATATCTTGGCTTCTTACAAAGACATAGGGAATTACACATGAGAGAGAACTATGAAGATCTTCAAGCATAAAAGCAAATGAAAGTCACTGTCATTAAATAGAAGTAGAGAGGTTTTATGAAATGGCATGGGGGTCAGAAAGAAGAAATCTCCAGGTACTATTTGGCTACTCTTCATCTAGTCTTGTTCCCTGTAGAACATTTCCTAAAATAATTGACATAAGAGCATCTCTTTTACCTCTTTACAGGGTATTTATATGGGGGCCAAATTTTTTAAACTGGCAGGGTATTGTTTTAGACATTGAGAATAATAATAATAATAATAAAGCTAAAATGTTACCCCTTGTCTTTAATGAGTTTATAATTTAATTAGAGAGATACACTTTGAACATAATTAATTATAAGTCTACTTGAGCCATAGGAAAAACAAAAATAAAGTACTACTGAAATTCAGAGGAGAGAGAGGTTACAATTTACTGGTGAGAATGGATGCAATGGATAGCAGTTTTCTTAAGGGCAAAAATTGCTCAAATACATGATCTCATTAGGCATATAATAGGTTATCCTGCTTGGCCTGAGCATAGAGCAAAAGGCAGCAAATAAAAAATAAAGAAGTGATCTTATTCCAACACAGTGTCTGGCATACTAATATGAAAATACTGTAATATATGAACAGTTATTGTGCTAATTTTAGAAAACATGAAGAAATAAATATCTTATTTGGGATCTTAAAAGCAAGAGGCAGTAGAGGAAATTAGACCTCTTGGGGCTCCTGGCTGCAATTCTAACTCTCCTTTCACAAAAGTAAAATGTTTCTAAATGTGAAAATGAGAGTAAAGCATGATGAGTGGCCAAAGTGCTCCCATGCAAAAAAAAGTTTCCATAGAATGTGCCATGGATTATACAATGTTTAAGAAACAGCAGTAGCGCAGCTGGAACTATTATAAATCTGTAAATATTGTACTATTATAAATGATGCAGATGGAAAATGTAAACCTGAATGAAAATGGCTAAAATAATTATTTGTTAAAATAACACAGGAAAATTTACATGTTATGTGGATTTTCGGATTTCAATGTATTAAGGGCTTTAGGGCTATATACTCATTTAAAAAAAAAAAACAACAACTCACTGCCACCCAGTCAATTCGACTCATAGGGATCTCTCCTTAGATTCCGAAGGTAGTATCCCTATGGAAGAGTGGTTGGTAAGTTTGAACTTCCAGCCTTCTGTTTAGCAGTCAAATGCCTTAGGCACTACACCACCAGATCTCCTCATATATTCATATTATTCATATATCCAATAGATATAATTCAATATTATTTAATACATATAATTCAATAAGGATTACAAAAAACAGATAAACTTCCAGTGATTTGATGAAAAACAGATTTATTTTATAATTTATTATGTAGGAAAAGACACATTATTATCTATACTTGAGGTGGTAGAAATAAATTTTATTTTATTAAAAACATGCTAGGAAATGCACATATCTAGAATGGATGACTGATTACAACCTGAAAAATAAGTACCATATTGCAATGGTACATTTCATACTTGATGGCATTTCAAATTTTTAGTAGCCTTAGAATACTCTATTTTCTATGTTTACTTTACAGTACATAGTTGAGGCTGTTTCCACTTATAACACTTACGTAAATTTTGCTTTAACTTGCATATGCTAGACATAGTATGATGGGAAATGTTGGGTCAAACATGAAATATCTTACAGGGATGATGAAATTTCCTGTGAAGTGTTGACTAACTGGGAAAAGGGCAGCATATTACATGGTGCAGTTTCAGCAAATGTGAACCAATTGCAATGCCCATACTGAAAAGAAAACTACTATTTCCTGAAATCTTTTTCAAAGAATGAATTATTTTTTCCTTTGTGCATTTTTTAAACTTTTATTTGAAACCAAATATTTTATGGCAAATCAAGTGGCACGGGTTATTTACAGAACCATATAATTGTTTACTTTACATTTTCTTCATATAAAGAATCCTTGTTGAAGTAACTCTCTTGAAAGATTACAGTAACACATTTTAATTTTGGAAAGGTCTAATGGCAATGATTCCACATAGACTGCATATATTTTCCTTGCATGATATTTGTACTTACAGCGATGAAAGCACAGGCTATTATTTTTATATTTTTGAACCTTGTCAACCAGCTCAAATGAAGGAACACTCACAAAGATTGACCATCAACATTCTGTTTCTTCAGCCACTATGTTACTGTCAGGAGATAATGTATTCAGTATATATAGCTCACTTAACAAAGGCAAATTAATGCCAATGATACTAAAGTAACCTGGAAAATAAACAAATAAAGTAACGTGAGTGTCCTAAATGGCCATTTTAGAACCCCAAAATATTTATTCTATAATCACTTTTTTGAGAACATGTGTTTGCCTAAGCTTTTTATCATTGTTAGTGTGGTTCTGAACATGGATTTAGCTGAAATATTTAAAAAAATAAATTCCTCCACCTTTACCTTCCTCAAACCCTTCCAGCCTTTTTTCAACTAAAAAAAAAAAAAAAAAAAAAAAAACACTGTAAAGTTTTGTGATCCGACACATTTCTAACTTTTTCACTAATAAAGTAGTTAATATGTCATCTATAGCTATGAGCTTATTGGACAAAACATATGAAGAGAAATTTCAATATACTTCTATCCCATACTTAGTCCCAGGGCCCTTTCAAAATTTCTAATTCTTAATAGGTCTAACTTTTTCCTGAGATTTCAAAGATGTACAATTGAGAAATATATGACTCTGAAAGTAAATATCAAAATTCACCTACCTTAGAACACATTCCTCATCATTCTAAAACTACTGTGCTCAGTTTTTGTTTTATCTCCTGTAGTTTTATGCTTATGTTGTAGCAAAACAGGGGATGAAATTTTAGGTACCTATGTATAGCAACAAATCAAATGGCAATAGAGAATGATCCTCAAGAAACCACTTGAGGGAAAGTTATTTGGATCTGTTCCTCTGTGTTCCCAACTGTGGGATGGCATTGTATGAAAACAAACAAAACAAACAAGACCAACTTCCTGGGACTGAAATACTTTGTATGTGTTGTTATTTGCAGTGCATGCCAAGACATTCATGAGCACCAGAGCCAAGCTGGCGAGCTAATTAAATATATATATGTATGTGTTTAAAACAGCCTAATAAGGAGCATTGGAAATCTTCAAGATGAGCGAATATCTTATAACTTCTTCCGCAGGTGCGAGGATAGCTACAAGCCATGGACTTTCTGTCCTGCTTCTTGTTTGTGGCTTTGTGAAGGGTGCTTTGCTTTAATCTAAAGTGCTGACTTTTTTCCAATATCACTTTCTCTTCTTAAAGCAAAGAGCAAATCGCCTGTAAAATCTACGGAGCGGACAGCAAAGTTGACCCTAAACTCCAAGCACCATTCTGCACCCACTGTACTCTAATTACCTACACAAGGAGCACCTGCTTCCGGAAGCATAAACGAAGAGGCTATCACATGTTTTGTTGATAACATTTTCTTTGGCAAATCACTGAGCTTTTTATTTCAAGAGAATTAGTGTGAAGCGATAGGACATTTTCTAACAGCAAGATCTATTTTTTTTTTTCCTTTTTTCTTTTCTTTTCTTTTCTTTTCTTTCGGCAATTAAAGGCATCATCTGCTCACTGACTGCTCAGGGATTGGCCTGAATGTCATCAGTCTAGTAAATATTTACTATGGAAACCACTGATTCCTACTTACTCAAAGACCCTTTCACTGCAGGAAGCAAACAGAGATTGAAAGGATATAGAACACAAACTATCATCAAACAAAACCCCGATGTCGGGGCAAGAACAAAATTATCAACACTGCAAGTCAATAAAGAGAACATTATTTTAAATAAGGAATAACAAAAGAAATATTTTTTTTTAATTGCCCTTTTCTTGAAATTTTATTCTTTTTTGGCACATCTCTTGTTCAATGGCAGCAAGTGCTGAATGTGGCCAATCCCTGTTAATTTTGGGAGGTTTACATAAACAATTTTAGTGTTCTACACTTCAATGTATTTTCATTCATTTCACAATGCCTGTATATGCAAATCTGACAAATTCTGTAAATTGCTTAAAGTATGTGTGATATAACTTCAAAGTAGATGTATTATGACCCTCATGCAAGCTGATTTTTACCATTATATATATATATACATATATATATACATATAAATATCTATATGTCAAGCCACCAACCAACATTTTTATAAAGCATTTGTTCTTCATTTATAATTCATGTATCGTGTGAATTTCATAATGCATTGTTTCACTTCCACAGCTTTGACAGCTGCAGATGGTCTCTGTTGCCCTCTGCTTCCTTCTGGAAAATGCATATTAAACATTGTATTGGCCTCTGACAAATGAATTAATTTTATTATGTGTATGCTGTGTTGGAATTTGCTATGTTCTTTTCATATATGGTGTTTATTAAAGTTCGAGGTTTCTTTTGACTCTGAAGAATGTCCACTCTGATGTTGCATCATTATTATTATTATTGTCAAAGAAGTATTGTTTGTTCTACAAATTTTACCTTTATGTTGAATGTGGAGGAGGTGATGAGATCATCATGATTCCCTAAATTCATGGAAGAACATTTCTTGCTATGGCTAAAAATTCTGCTTCCTTTGACCTTTATGAATTTTTGTAACTTTGTCACTCTGTTATTTGCTACTAATTACATTTTAATGTCTCTAATTAAAAATTAAAATTTGGTTGCTGGCTAAATATAATATGCAAAGAATGACTGCAATCACTAAGGAGGATAATGTGATCAGTTTTCCCTACTTAAGTGAATTATAATTTTAAATATACCATTCTTACTTTTTGGTTTATGATAATTCAGACTTTTTATTTAGAATCTATTTTCTGCTCTGAACAACAACAACAAAAAAAAAATGGAGAGTACTATTAATGTGTTCCATATACAATGTGGAATAATACAAATTGAGATAGAAATGACCTAAGTTTTCCTTCCAGAGAGATTCTTCCATTTTCTTTCCTTACAAAACCAGAAGATTATCTATGTGTGACCAAGAGCTCCCAGCCTAAGGTCCAGAACTGAAGCTTGAAGGCAATGAAAACCTCTGCTTCTCAAAGGTAAATGCATTTGATTTCATGCTATTCAACTAAGAGCTATGTGCATATTTTCATAATATTCTTGGCATTGTGTTCTGAGAAATGTTTCATGCAAAATCTTTTATTGCCATTTGTCCTGGTAGATTAGGTTTATTATTTCAGTCTAATAAGAAAAATAAAGGTTCTTATTGTTCTATTTTATTAACCTAGAAAGTTATTTTCTTTCAAAGTTTGATATTTAAAAATATATAAAGTAATAAGATAAGGATGATTTCATCAAGTCCATCTGAATATTCAAGATTACATATATTGAAGCTTAAATTAACATATGATTCAACTTCAGTCAAATTTGGAAAATGCACCCAATATGAGTAAATTACTTACTCAAAATTTAGGTCATGAAGTAAATCAAACCATAATGAAGGACATGTATACTAGTTTGGGAAGAGACCTCACAAGCCTCATTGTGTCAGTGTCCAATTTTCATGAAGACTCCTTTGTCACTATGCTTCCAAGAGTATGACACACTTTCCTTTTTGGAAAGAACACAGTACATTATTATTGTTTACCTGAACTCAAAAATTTAATATGGAAATTTAAATATTGAAAGAGAAACAGTAACATACTAAGGAGGCTTTCTAATAGTTCTCAAATTATATTTCATCTTTCTGGGCCTAGAACTTTGTATGTAAAATGAATATGGAAAAAAATAAATATTGATTAAAAAAAAGTTATCTGACTTTTCCAAGGTTATGTAATGTCCTTAACCAGACAGAATCATAAGAAGCTGAAAAACAATTTCTTACTTTAAATTAAGTTGAATACTTTATTTCTTTACTAAAGAAAAGTACAACAATGCAAACTGAAACACTTGGGGATAAAATATCAAAAATTGTCTAAAGCAGGAGTTCTTACTCTGGTTAGTCAATGAGCTTGGTGGAGTTCCTGACTCCACTGATATTATATTCATATCTCTGCATTTGTGTATGTGATTTTTGGAGATGGTCCTTCATATTCATTATTTCTGAAAGTTAGTTGATTATGATTTGCTGGCCTAAAAAAAAAAAAAAAAAAAGTACTTGGAGGTTCTTGAGTCTACATGAAGACCTAATTATTGTAATTTTGAATAGATTTGCCTTAAAGTTCTTGGAAACAAGACATGATTAGAGTAATAGATATTAGGTCATATGTATTTTTGCCAAAAGAAAATATATATTTTTAAATTCAGAAGAATTTTTCCTTGAAGCTTGTCATATGCAGCATGAAGTAATAGATATGGGGTGATGCTTGTAGAATTTTTAGAATGGACGTTAATACCTTAAAATATAATTTTGCAAAAAAATATACAGATGCCATTCAATTAGATGACCCTGCTATTGAACTTCTCTAAAATTTATTTAAATTAAATATTAAATATAATTTAGTAATAGCTTCTCCTAGAAAAAACAAATTAAATAAGGTAAATGTAGTGTCTGAGATAACACAAGAATTAAGAGCACTAAACTATAAAAAATGTATGTATATGTATTACTTTCAGCAATGAAGCAGACAAGGTCTTTTCCTGTCTGCAAGGAGAAACTGATAATGAACATTCAAAGACAAGAAAATGCAGGATAGTTTAAATTCTAAAAAAGCCTAATAGAATGACATGAAAGGGTGTGAGTAGGAGTAGTCAGAGGAAGCTGTTCCAAAGAGCATTTAAATAAAGCTTGAAAGACAAGAAACAACTAAGGGAAGATCTGGGAGAAGTCTTTCAGGTAGAACAACAGGCCATGCAGAACTCCTGAAATGGAATATCTAGGCTTGTTCAGGGACTAGAAAAGCAGTCAGGGCAAGAATACAGTGAGGGAGAGAGTGGTATTTGATTAGGACAGACAAGAGAAAGTCCAATGAGACTATGCCAGGGACAGTACAAGAGCACTAGTTTATGAAAATCCCACTGTGGATTATCATTCTGAAAGCAGGACCCAGACTCAGCCCAGAGCTTTCTCTCACCTCTTATTATGTAGTCTTACTTGTAACCATTTCTTCTTTGAGAACAGTATCAAATCTCCCAAATGGTCATTATAATTTTGTATGAATTGCAGAGCTGCATTAGGCATGAGAAAATTTAACTCAACATTTTAATGCTAAGTTACAATTGGTCATTTTGAGGGCAAAAGGAAATATTGAAAGATAATTGCGACTGCTCTGAGCGTAGCACTGGACTAGTTACAATAATTACAAATAGAATTTGAAATAAAGACATAAGTGTGTAAATTGAAAGGGTAGACAGACTGAAATAAAGGAGACTCACATCTAGACACTTGGAAAAACATTTAATTAAAAAGGTAGAGGGAGGGTAAAAATTCTACAGTATGTACACAGAATAAAAAAGAAAAGGTTATAAAATATCAGAAAATAAGTTCTTACTATTCTCTACAATGCACATCCCAGAAGATTAAAAAATACAGTGTTTTCCAGAGTAAAGATTGTGATAAAATAGTTTTATACTTAGTCAAGTTGTATTTTCATTGTCAAGGAAAAACAATTCCTCTGAGATATGCAAGGCTCATAGAAAAAGAATATGTATGTACTTTTCCTGAAAACAATGTTCGTCTTTATTCTTCAAATGACAGATTAATCAAAAATGGTAGATTAAAAATAAATAGGCATAAATTGTCTACCATATGAGCTTTGAAATTGTATTAAATATAAGGACTTATTCAATATTTTAATGTATTATACTGTATGTAAACAAACGCAAAAGTTTCACAAAACAATACTTACCCTCATTTTGTGCATGAAATGCACTCCAATATTTTCTATTTTGTTGTTTCTTTTTTGTTAATGAATTTCATGAAACATTAAATTGACTTTACAACTTACAATCTGAAAAAAGTAACAGGTGTATTTCATTACAAAATTTTATTCAGATGGAAAAAATAATTAAATGAGAATATGTAATATAAAACAATAATTTAATGGAATTTGAAACTCATATTATTAAAAACAAGGACGTCAGAGATTATTAAAAAAATGTCTTCAGTGTACTCTACTTTGGAAAAATATTTTATTTAATGAGTGGCCATGACTCATATTAGGGTGGGGGAATAATGGAGTTATTATACATATCTGTGGTTTATATGTTTTATTTTCTTGGTTTGTATCTTATAGCTTGTCATCCTCTGAACCCCCTTCTTATGACTGAAATATCCCCAACCCCTAGTTACAGCCATTGAGGTCCAGGAGACAGTTCCTTCTTCCAAGCATTGATAAATACATTGCAAAATAGCATGCCAGCATATTTGAAGACATCTTTGGCTGCCTCTGTATAGCAAAGCAGTGGAAAACACTGACATTTAAATGGAATCCTTAATTTCAACAGAGATTGGTT